TGCGCCGCTGCTGTCGGCCCACCGCGCCGCTGCCGCCTGCCCGCCGCACAGCGTCCCGCTGCGAACTCGCGTCGCTGCCCGCTTGCAGTGGATAACGGGTCGTGTCGGGTTGACCCGAACCCGAAGCGGGTCGGATTCGGGTCCAAGAAATCGTCCCGTTTGCAAAAACGGGTAGGTTTCGGGTTGAACCGAATGGTGCCGGGTTCGACCTGAACCCGACCCGTGGCCCGAAATTGACACTCCTATTCTTTGTAGTGTGAAAAAGTTAGAGGAAATATATAATAACCCATAACTTCTTGTGACTCCCACGAATAGAGAGTGAAAAAATAAAAATGTTGTAAATTTGTTTAATCTAGAGATTATATAAAAATACATATAATTTACACTAATGGAATGCATCTACTACAAAGAGATTAAGAAAAAATATCCACTATATTAACAAACACTTGGTGCATATTTCACACTTTGTGGATAATATAAATGCAAATGTTGAGGGAATTTTACAAATTTTAATATTCCTATAAATGACCTTACTTAAGAGATTTAATTGATATTTATAGTTAAATCATTCATGGAAGGCAATATGATATTAGAACATTATAGCCTCACATAACATTGTAGTTTAATAACATCACTTAAGCTTCGTTTGATACAGTTTTCTTTTTGTTTTCTAAAATAATTTTTTAGTACAATTTTTTTTTTTTATCAAGGTGCCAATTTCACTCTGGAGATTTACAATTGGTATCAGAACAATTGTTGAAAAAATTGATTGAATTATTACTAGAGCTGCAAGAATTGATTTTGAGTTGTGTATATTATGTAGATTAAAGTGAATTATTTTACATATATAATTAAATAACATGTGTTAGAATGAACATGAACTGTATGACTATATGATTTGATGAGTTTTTTAAACTAATATTAATTCGATTCAAGTTTTGATCGTACGAATTTGGTATATCAATTTTGTGCCTGAATTCTAAACAGTGATGTTGGGGACGACATTTTTTTAAGGTGAATAGATTGTAATGGATTGTATTTTAAACTCGTGAAATAAATTTTTTCAGAAGTCATTATAAGCTTAAATCACAAACCGTCTCCGTCAATCTTCACTTCTTCCTCAAGAACCCTAATTATCAAGTTTATCCCATTTTCCATCAGCCACAACGAGAGCGAGAGGCCAACGGGTTCAATTCCGGCGACAAAGGCTTTGCTATTTCATCTTCTTCCTCCAGGCAAGCTTTCAAAGGTTGGTAAGTCTTCATCTTGTTCTTTATTTGAGAGTTAAATGCTCCCTTTCTTATTAAGCTCTCTCTTTCAAAGTAGTATAGTAGTACTCCTAAACACTGAATTATTTGCACAAATCAATATTTCTCCATAGGAGAGGGAGTGAGATGAGGTCAGGGTTTTGAAGGCAAATAGGGGTGTAAGTGAGTCAAGCTGGTTCGGACTTGACTCGATAAATGAATCTTGAGGCGAGTTTGAAGAGCTAACGAGTCAAGCTTGAGATGGCCCTGAATCAATTTGTTTCCCCGCGTGCCAGTTGTTTTAAAAATATTAATATAAATACAATTAAAACATATTAACATTCATAATTTTAAGTGTAAAGTTGTTAAACATATTTAAAAATTATGTTTAACTTTTTTGTATTAAGTGATCCTTTTATTATTTTTCATCTAATTTTTCAATCTTTTTATCATATTATTATTATAATTATTTGAAGCATAATCATTTTCTTGCTTTCATAATAAATGAGTCAGTTTGAACTCGTAAAATAAAATTCAAGCTATCAATTATCAATATATTACACTAATTTTGATCAATGTTTTTATTAAAATATTCTAAAACTAATTTTTTTATGTAAAATGTTAAAGTTTAGCAACTAGGATGGGCTATAGATTAAGCCCATCATATTTGATTTAATGGCTTGCATGAATTAAGATATATGTGTGCATTTAAGATTCATTTGAGATAGCTACGACTCTTTATAAATATGTTGTAAAATTATTGTGGGGATTTTTTTTTTTTTTTTGAAAGCTATAGTTTCCTAGCACAAAAAATTTCTTGAAAGCTGCGAAAAAAAGAAACAACCATGCATATAGAAACTGCAATTACAACCTCAAAAAATAAAGCAGTAAAAAGGCTCTCCCCAACAAAGCCTCAGTGTGATCTACAATCAAAAGAATGTTGGAGCTATTTGCAAAACTAAGGCTTCGTTTGTGACAGCTTTCCTACTGTTTTTTAAAGTAGCTTTCAAAAAACAATAAGAAAGTTATCCCAAACGAAGCATAAGTATGAAACAATTAGAGATTTTAGAAGTTTTTATGATCTTAATCTACAGAATTTACAAAACAAAAAAGGCTATGAAGTGTTAGCGACCTGCAACAATTGAGATTGAAAGGTCATTAAAAGAGGTACCTACATGTTGATTTAATGGCTTTCTAGCATCTAAATCATTGTCAATGGTGAAAAATGCAGGTTGTTTGATACTGTTGAAGTATAAACTTTCATTGGCAAGCATGGTAACAATATCAGACATGAAAGGGCGATCTTCTGGTCTCTCTTGAACACATAAAAGTGCAACGTAGATGCATCTCGCAATCTCATTATCCTGAAATTTATTATCTAATGAAGGATCTACAAGTTCCACCCAGGTTCCTTCTTTCCATAAACCCCAAGCCTGATGAAGTAGCATGAAATTATTTCAGTTTTTTTATAAATATTTTACTAGTTTCTAAGTTAAATGCCAAAAAAAAAGGGGGTTGGATCACTTACATATGCAAGGAGATTACCACAACCATGATTTCTTCTTCCGCTCACAATCTCGAGAAGCAGGACTCCGAAGCTAAATACATCCGATTTGACAGAGAAGAGACCATTCAAAGCGTACTCTGGAGACATATAACCGCTAAAAAATATGGCAAAATGGAGCTAATTAGCATTCAAAACATTAAATTAAAAACCCATTTTGATTGCTTCAAACTAAGGGGCTGTTTGGTAGCACCCAGGATTTGATTTAAGTAGGATTTCGTAAAACCGGATTTCGGAAATCCTGAGAGGCCTAAGTCCTAAAAATTGTTTGGTAACATTCATATTAAATCTTGTGTGAATGTTTGGCTATAGAATGTATTTAATGAGCGGACTCTTCCTCTCTAGCTAATGGATTTCATAAATCAGGCAAAAAGCAAGATTTCAGAAATCCGAGATTTAGCATGAAAAGGCGGGATTTTCTGTCTATGGCTGCTTTCATTTGCCGTGAGATTTGGTTTTGCATTTTAGGCCGTTTAGTTGGATTTCGCTCAAATCCGCCTCAAATATGGCCAAAATCCTGCTACCAAATAGCCCCTAAAAATAGACTTTTAAAAATGAAAAATCTGTTACATTCATGAGAATTTAGATTATAAAAATGTATAAAATGAGTAAAAATTTTTTTTTTTCTAAAATGTATTTTCTGTCTATAAACCAAATGAGCCCAAATCAGAATTCATTTTAAAAATGATGCAGAAGTGGTTCATATACTTACAAGGTGCCGACAATTCTTCGAGTATTTGCTTGGGTATCATTAGAATCGAAAATTCTTGCCATGCCAAAATCTGAGATCTTGGGGTTCATGTCACCATCCAAGAGAATGTTGCTTGCCTTTAAATCTCTATGAATGATTCTTAATCTGGAGTGCTTATGAAGATAAAGAAGACCTTGAGCAATTCCTTCGATTATTTGAAAGCGCCTAGTCCAGTACAGTTTTAATCTTTGTTCAACATCTGCAGAAGATAGGAATAATTTTGATTAGCAATGAACTTATGGTTTTTTCCTTATTCTTTTGGAGAGAACTTACCGAAAAGCAAGAGATCTAAGCTTTTATTAGGCATGAACTCGTATATCAACATCTTCTCTTCGCCATGAATACAACAACCTAATAATCTTACTAAATTCCTATGTTGCAGTTTAGCAATTAATAAAATTTCATTTTTGAACTCCTCTAATCCTTGCCCTGATCTTGCAGAAAGCCGTTTGATAGCCACATCTTGTCCCTCTGGTAATTTTCCCTAAAATAATGTCCATTACAGTAACATTTGCACATCACATATCAATATCACAATGCATTGAAGAGTTTCAGATAACATTGAAAAGGTTTATATAGATGTTACCTTATAAACAGGTCCAAAACCACCTTCTCCGAGCTTGTTAATATCTGAAAAGTTGTTTGTAGCACTCACTACTTGAGCAAATTTGAAGAATGATATTTCTGAATTCCCTTCTTTATTGGCTTCATGCATAATTTCATGACCCCAATTTACAGAGGAAACTGATTGTTCGTCGTCTTCTTGGAATTAAGGAAAGGAAAAAAGTTTAGTTTTTTTTAATATATACAGTATAATGAAAGTAAAATAAGAATATTTCAAAGACTTACTTCTGCGTTTCCATCTCCTTATCACAAATATCAAAAATATTAGAAGCAACAATACAGAACCTGCTGGCATTGTGACAAAAATCCATGCCTTCTTCTTGCTCCTCCCTGTTATTCACAAAAAAAGTGTAGAATGAAGTCAAAAAAATGTGTCAATATTTATGTTCTGAAAAAAAGAAATTGGAAAAGGAGCTTGTAATAAAATAGCTTCTTTTGACAGCTCAAGCAATCTTTGTATTGTGTTACAAACAAGGAGGATGCCACCTGAATTTATCGGCGAGCATCCTCTTTTAGTTTCCTTGGTACTACATCGGAATTTTATTAATATATAGTTAGATTATCTCCACGAGCTAGAAGTTTATAAGATATTGTATTGCATATGAAAACTTTAAAACCTTATTGGCTTAACTCAATGCACGTCATAATTAAAGGTTTGATTTTTTCTCATTCTACCTAAAGATCTTGTAGTAGCTACACATAAATATTTGCTTTAAGAACTCCATTAAGAATGCCGACGGCCAAACATAACATATAGTTGATAGATTAAAAAAAAAAAACATATAGTTAATAGATTTTCCCCTTCACTTCTTTCTACTTCGTGAAAAATCAACATTTAATTGGCTCATTCTTCATCAATTTAACTTGATTTTATAAATCTCTTTACTTCAATCGCTTTGTCTTTGTAATGTAAATGATCAACCAAAAGACATTTGTTCTTCTCATACAATATTGGTTTTGTTTGCGACAGTTTTCTAAAGTAACTTTTTATTATAATTTTTTTTGAACTAAAAATTTTGTATTAAAAAGCTACTTTAAAAAGTAGTGAAAAAGTTATCTCAAACAAAATTGTTATGATTTTTTTTAGGACGTTGAATCTTCTTGGATGAGAGAGCGAGGGGGGAAAGAGGGAGAGAGAGCTAACGTGGAATTTTTTGTATTCCTCTTCCATGAGCTTCCGATCATCATTACAACCTCTTTTATTTATAGAAGAATGAACCTACTACGATAAGGAACAAATAACCTAAAACTGGACCAATACCTAGCAAAAGCCATAATTTCTCCTTCCAATATTTTAATCAAATTTTCTTATTTTATTGTTTCTTCATAGCTTCAATGACATAAAAATTGAAATTTTCATAAATATCACTTGAAGTTCACGTACTTAGAGAGAATACACAATATTCACTTCATATCTTAGATCAACTATTTGAACAATTCAAACATAAATTAGAGAAACAATAATTGACCAATGCCTTATCTTAATGTTAGTCAAAGGAAAATTAGGTCGATCATAAATGCTTCAGTCCGTAAGTGTCAATGCAATGAACCAGAGAGCCGTACCGTATCCAACAATGTCAAGTAATTGAGTACGATACGTGACGATATCATCAATTAATAATCTAATGATATATATACCGTTAGATCCGTTAGCAAGTGACGCGATTCGGATGAAGAGATCCTGCTGCCTGTCGTCCGCAGAGGTTCTGAGATCTTTAATCTCCGTCATCCAAATAATGCATCCAATTCCTCCGCCGCCGTTAAGATAAACGCTCGCATAAGCCTTACAGGAACAATTCATCAAACACTTTGTCTTACACTCATCCAAGCCCAGGCTCATATCCGCCACCGCCTCCGTCGTGTCCGGCAGCGTGGTGCCGCGAACCACCAAGAACTCGTCGGTTTCGTTTGCTCCGCAGCCAAGCGCCGCCACTCTAACACACCCATCAGACCAATTTCCCTTGCTCCAACTCACTGGATTGTTGGGATTAAACCCACCAAGACACTGGCACATCGGCGAGCTACTTGAGTCGCAGATGGCATTGGTTCCGCACGCCGGAAAGAAGTCGCAAGGATCGCTTGGTGCGAACCAAATAAGATTCCACTTCTGAGACGATGCTTTCCATTGGTATATTCTGGCTACCCCTTTCTGATCCATGGTCAGT